TGCCATTAGAGGATACGGGGTTCAGAATTTGGGCCCCTATCATATTATGGTTTAGGGGTTTAGGGCTTAGGGTTTAGGGTTTAGGGTATAGGGCTTAGGGCCGATTCTCAAGAGTCAGAGTGTGACATGTGTCAAAGCCTCAACCCTCAACCTGCATGGGTTGGCCACTAGACCCCTGCGCTAGAAACACCTCAAGTCGCAAACAGACAACCCTCAACACAAATCCAAGCTTTAACAGAGGAGGTTTAGCTGAATCGCCGAGTTTCGCAGCCGAACACGGGTCTTAGCCTCTAGGACTCTAATAAGATCTACACAGCCAAAGCCGCTGTAAACTCTTCCCAGCAGACTAGACAAGAACAGCTCAAGCCCAGCGTAAACACGCTGAAAGCCCGATGTTTCGCAGCAGCGCCTTAGTCGAGGTTGGCACTGGGGTGAAGGTCGAAGCGGTGGCTCGAATGCATGGCTGTGGTCCCTTCTGGGAGGGTGGGGGGGCCTTGTTGTGGTAGACTACTGTCAAGCTAAGCAGGGACTTACTTCCAGGGATTTGCTCTCGACCTGTGCAATTTTGGGGTGGTGCGAGGTTTGAGGTGTTTGTGCACTTGCTGCCTTCACTTGTCTTTCCTCGAAGACTCGAAGCCACTTCAATGCTTGGTGCGAGATGTCCACACTTGCTCGCACGTAGTCGTCGGCACGTATGTTGCGCAACCGATGCTACCCTGGGTATGTGTGTGGCACTATAGTTCTTTCCTCACAGCATGCTTGTCCCTCCCGCTGGTTGTCTGTTATGCATGTCCAAACCCTTCAGATCGCGATGCATCCCGCAGAAAATGCTTGAGGCCTTTCCGCCTCGAACTCCCGGAACCCAGCCAGCGGCAAGGGAAGCCCTCGGGATGTGGATGCGTTATGCTACATAGTGACATGGTCGGGTCTATTGACAAACGGGTTGCCAAAGATCTGCACAGGATTTGCTTCGAACTTCACCTTGCACGTCTGATGCGTGCAGTGAGGGCTTCTTTGAACCAACTTACTCCAAACTCTCAGCCCTCATCCCGCAAATCCTAAGCCTTCCGGAGATGGCCTCAGCTCCTTGCAGCTGCCAGCGCCACCAGCTCAGGAGATGGATGTGTGCGTGGAAAAGTCAAACACGGAGAAGGACGGGTCAGAAGCGTTGCAAGAAGAAAGCTTCTTCCGAAACCACAGCTGTGCATCCCTTGAAAGCCCCTTTCATGGCACATTTGGCAGGCCTCGGACAAAGACTCGTCTGCAAGCCGTTCCAATGAAACATGCATGAATCCGGATTCCCTCTCCGATGTTGAGGGAGTTTTCAACCCTGGGACTTGGAGGACGCATGCGGCGCAGAGTCTAGGGTTTCTGGCAATGCCCGAAGCCTTACTGTAAAGCGCCGGAACCTCGGTAGGGGGCTTCGCAGCGATCCAAAGAGCGTGGCCATGGAGACCGACCCTCGACTCAGCCCAAATCGCGAGAGCTTCAGTTTAGGGTTTCGGATTTAGGGCTTACGGTTTGTACCAGTAGGGCTTATAGAGGCCTTGTAAGCTTTTAGGGTTTCATGTCAAGGGCTCCGGTGGCCAGCAGAGCCTGAACGGCCTGTTTTCTTCAAGCCCAGCAATGAGTGCAGGACTCTGTCGGTGGCGGCACGACCACTGTGTACAGCTACGAGAGAGCCTTGGTTCTACAACTGATCACAGAACAGTTCTTACAAGGGTTACTTCAAGGGTTCTCATAAGGGTATAACAAGGGTCTCTATAAGACTATAAGGGGTATAAACGGCTACTATACAGGTTGTTGTAAGGTAAGGGTTGTTACAGTGTACGATAGGCACGAGTTATAATCGTTTGTATTTGTACGCAAGAAGCACTCCAGAGCGGCGTTAGCAGCAGTATGGCAGCAGCAGTTATGTCGTTAGTTGCAGAGCATTTGTCCAAGGCCAAGCGTGTCTGTCCCGCATTAAATTAGGAAGCCCTTCGGGTGACTTTTCCAGCAAGACTCGTGCAGGCCAAACCGCACGACAGAACGAAGACCATGACCTCAGGGGTCCAAGTTCAGCAACAACTTTACATCCAAGTTGAAAGGTCCGGGGAGGCACAGAACACCAGGTGCCAGTCATAACCTTGTTTGAGCGTCCCGTTCTGTTAAAGCCCGAGCTCTGGAAGAATGCTAGGAGCCTGGCGCAGCGAGCCTGTGGCGCGGGACTCAGATGAGCAAGGGAGAAGGGTGACACGGTGACACTCAGCCCTATAGACTGCTAAACCCTCACCACTAGGAGTCTGTGTGCATTCGTGGAAGCTTTCGGATCACCGATTAGCCTGGAAGGCTCGCGCATTTTTTGGCCTGCGGGGCGTGGGTTGGGTGGGGTGCAGGGTGGTGGGCTGCGGGGAGCTCGCGAGGGGTGGGGGCGGCGGCGAGGGGGGTGGGGGGACTCGAGGCCCAAGTCTTTACGTACAAGTGGGCTTCGAAGCTATATGCAGGCGGCAGCAACCAACTGTACTGGCATGACTCAGATTAGATTTGCTGCGATCTGCCATACAAGCATTGTATTATTCTATCTTATATTGATATTAGTTCAAGATGATATGTATACTGAGGTAAAACAAACTCATACATCAATAGTAACTGCCAGTTTTGGTTATACTGCAAAATATGGTACAAGTCAGTCTAACGTTATACAAAAACGACTCGTACTGCTATGTGATTATATGAACACTGTCAATAGACAACTACTCTTACTTACGTTAACTTTGCAAATTAAGAATGTTAATAGTTGTTTCCATTCTGCTATGGCACAGAATGGTATATTATACCATAAAGCCTTGCCGCATGACTCAGTGCAATTCTCAAGCCCCGCCCGTCACCACTTTAACCAAACCGAAGCAAAGAAGGTTTCAGAATCTGGGATTCCGGTCCCCAACCTCCCCGTGGCCCAAGGATTCCTCAGCCTTCCGGGATCAGAGCAAGGCTCGTTCGCAATGTGGTGGATTGACTCCCAGCTGCACCATGGATTTCGGGTTTAGGGCTTCGGGGAAGTTCAGGGTTTCGGGGGAGTTCAGGGTGTGTCGGGGGAGGAGCTGCTCAGCTCAACCTACGAAAGTCAGCCAGCCAAAGTGCGCCAGAAGCTGCAAATTGGAAACCCGCCCTCCAACTGACTCTGCAAAGCCTTCCTTTGCATTCTTGGGGTGTTGAGCTCGTCGGTCGGCATGTTGGAAGCCTGTGGGGTGTCGAAATTCGGAGTCAGGGCTTGTGTTTTCAATGATGAAACAGTGTGTCCACATGCCTGCCAGGTCCGCTTGGTGTGCCTCTGACAAGCACTCTGCACACTGCCCAACTGAATGCGCAGCTTGTGCACCTACTCAGCAAACAAAAAGCGCTTAGGACACGCATATATGCACAACACACACACACGGTGTAAACAGTGAGTGCACGGCCTCTTGAGCTTAGGAACAATTGAGGACTGTCAAGCACCATGGCAGCCTCGAGCCTTGAACCGAAGCCCTGATCCAAGACCCCCACGTTTGTTATTCATCGAACTTGCTCACGCCGCTGCGCACGTTGATGATGACGACACTTGTAATATGTGACTTGGAAAGTCCAGCAGTAGGGGGGTCAGATCATCATCATCATCAGCAGCAGCACCGGCCGACGGATCAGCCATGGCATCCACGGCATCGTTCGCCTTTGGCGCTGCAGTTGGGGCATTGCTTGGTGCGTTCCCGGGAAATGCATTTCAGTTCTTCTCGGTTGCACGCACTGAGCGTGATGGTCGGACGTGCTTTGTTTCATCTTCGAGCTCGGAATACTTTAACGACTCTGTTTGATTTCTCGCCAAGCGAGCCTTCGCTGGATCGTTCTGGAAGGGTTCGCAGGACAAAGCAGCATGGAAGTGTGTCTCAGAAGTGTTAAGCACTCGACCGACATGTTTGTTAGACGTTGTACTTTGCAGTTTGTTTCTTTGTCTCCTTCAGGGGGTGTGCTGTGCCGAAGACTTTTTTCGGGCGAACTCGAATTTGAGGTTAGTAGTAGTAGTAGTAGTAGTAGTAGTAGTAGTAGTAGTAGTAGTAGTTCTACTACTACTTCTAATAATAATAATAATAGTACCAATTAATAAGACTAGTACCAATGACCATCTCCGGACCACTGAGTCGCTGAAGCGTCTCGCTTGGCTTCTGGAGTCTCTGATGTCTTGATCTTGGCTCCCAGGGATATAAATTAAAATGTATATTGTGGTATCTGATAGTCCATTATCCTAGTTTTTTCTAATACATTATTGATTTCATTTCGAGAGGGCGCAAGAAGGCCGAGCATCGCAGCGTGAGAATCCGGTGTGCGCAATTTTGCGAAACGACAAGGGTTCTTCTTCTTCAGGAGCTCGGTGGACTTGGTGCATCTGGAATCTAGGCTTCGCCTATGTCAAAGCTTCTCACTGACACCCAGATCCGAGGCTTTGGATGTCCCGTCGAGTTGCGGCGAAGGAGACACGGCGCAAAAGGGTCATGCAAATGGCCAAGGCCGCGTGGGTTGCCAACTTCCAGGCTTGAAAGATTTGAAAACTCTCGTAGCCTGAACGACGGTTCACTGACGTGAGTAGAATGTTCGACAGTGAACATCATCATGCCGCACATGCTGCCTCCTGTCATGAGAACACGGTGTCTAGAGTCTAGAGCTCTACTGTTTGTTCATTCACTGCAGGACTGCGCGTCGAGCAAAGCCAGATCACTGCAGCACCGTAGTGTGACTGGTTCATGTTCTTCGCCAGGTGCGCCCAGACCGAGTCAAGCTCTACAGGCGTCACCACCAGGCTAGTTCAGCCCATCAGGGCTCAAGGACCCCAGTCCCCAATGCTTGTCTAGGTCCCATCTGAGAGTCAGACCCTCTTGTGCGTGTGCAAGATTCAGACTCCGAGATGCCAAGGGGCCAAGTGCTTGGAGTTTCGCATAATTTCAAGGCTTGAAAGTTGATTCGCGACCGAGGAAATTGGACGTAGAGGTTTCTAGTTAAACTCTTTAGCCAACCCCATGTACTGTAGGCAAAGCAGCCCGACGAGACCCCGCATGGGTCTTGCATGTCCCGACAGCCGTAAGAATGTCCGGCTTCGATGCTGATGTCCTTGTTTTGTGGCTCGTACGTACTTGTTGGTGGTCTGTACCCTTGTGGCATGTGCCATGGCAGGTTTTCCAGAACATGAGCTTAACTGAAAACCTACTTGTTGCTGGAGCAGCTACGTTGTAGCGAGCGCGGCCTAATTTTTCAACTGTGGACCAGAAGCAGTTCATCAACGCTACTAGGCGGTGTGGCCTGAAGTGGAGAAAGGTCTGGCTGGATCTGGTGTGGAAACGCCACCCGGCATCAATCCCGAGCTGAAGGCAGTAGTAGAAATGCTGGCCAGAAGCTCTCAACTTGAACCTTTGCCATCAACCAATAGCCTCTATAGGCATATATATATATATATGCTGATTCTACACTTGAGCTGCATGGGCGTTTCTGGAAGACAAACTTGCAACACAACTGCCTCTCAGATAAAGTTAAGGATGAGAGGAATCAGTATATCCGGTGAAGAGGATGCTTCTCCGCAAAGCCAAAGCCCTATCCGGGGAGCTCGTCCTAGGAATTTCTGAGCCCCCAGCGCACCCAGCTTTGCGACTGCTGGCTTCAGGATTTCTATCTGGGCCGACCCGAAGGATGAGACATCGCTTTTCATGCAGCCTGGCCGGAGACTTCACCGAGGTCTACCTCCCTGAAACTGCAGGCGATTGTTGCGTGATTGAGATATGTGCGGGTCGAGGTTCTGGGGTTCTAAAGCTAGACTTTCGGTTCTATTTGACTGCGGTATGCTTGGAAATCTCGAGTTGCATCCAGATCGTACACACTTTCAGATCTTCCGAACCATTGAAAAGGAGCTTCTGGGAGGTGCCACAGCATGCATTACAGCTTCTCTATAGGGGGCGAATGTAGGGGCCTAAAGAAATACCTATACTATGTTTTTTTTGTTTTGGGGGGGGTCCTTATTATAGTTGTCCTTATTATTTTTACACAGCTATAGTTATAGTATAATATACCGAAAAGGCCTATTCTAATTATTAAGGCCACTGCATTAGCTGCTTCACAGCACGGCGCCTGTATATCGTGGACCTGAGAGGAAGTCAAGTTAAATTCCGCACCGCCAACTCCAACACTCAAGAGTTGCCTGGAAAAGCTGCATTGGATTCGCTTCGCAATTGCAGGCAAGCGACGAACATTAAAACAAAAATAAACCTTCGATGCCGCGTTCGAAGCAGATAATTCAGCAAGCACCCCTACCTCCGCTTACTGGCAGTACTTCCCTTGACAAGCACGCCTGCAGCAGCCAGGTATTTGGAGCTGGCCGACGATGCAGAGGATGGTATTTTTGGTTAAGAGCTTAGGGCTTACGGCTTTCAAAGGTTTGGCAGCAGCAGCAGCGGCAGTAGCTGCAAGCAGCAGCTTTACTTGTCATAGCAAGCCTTTTGAGATCTGCGAAAGGACTCAGAACCTTGCAAAAAACATAGTGTTTCGTTCAATAGATTGTGAGGTGCCTTGTTGCAGACAACTAGCAAGATTTCGGCAGCCTTGTTCCGAAAGGTGAAGCTTTAGCTGGCAAATCGCTCAAGCGCAACACCCCCGTCTTGGAAATGCTCGAACTCCTTAAAATCGCGAGGATCTTGGGCCTGGCTCCAGGTACCGCGCCAACGACACCGTGCGAGAGACTCGGCACCAAGAGTGGGACGTTGCTGTTTGTGTAAGGTGAGTTTGCTTTCGGGTCAATTCGCTTGGGGTGTTGGGTTCAGAGTTTTGGGGCTTTCAGGAGGGCTTTGGCGTTGCTTTGATTCCAGTAGGGGCAGAGTGTAACATGTGTGTCTCGGTAGTGGCAGACTTTCTAAAGCAGCGTCAGGGTAAATGACCTGAAGAGATGCAAAATCGGAAACCGACTCCTTTCTACATAGCTTTCTGTACGCCCTACCTTATTCCGCCACGAAAACCGACCACGGTCTAGACTCGAGACGAAGCCGCAGCTGGCGCCAGGAGTGGGAGGAGAGAATGGAAACCGAGTTTCATGCCGGCTGGACGCCACTTCAGGAGCCGCATGTCCTTGCGAGTGTATGCAAGGTCTGCCGACTCCACAGCGCTGCAACATCAGAAAAATGCGGTTTAGTGGTTGGTGGGGTGGCATTTTAGTGCTGTTTGTGGAAACGATGTCGAAGTTTCGAATGCTCGTCCGGCTCTACATTATGCACAGCTCGAGGCCTTTCTCCTTGCCGAATCCAGCTGATTCATACAGGATGCCATGATCGGTATGAGCCCCAAGAAAGTCCGGCACAATCCGATGATCTCCACCCAAAAAGGCTGTGCCGTGAGGGTTCGTAGTTCCAGGGGGTAGGAGGTAGGAAAAGGAAACCATTCCTTTCGTCTGTGCGCTTAGGGAAAATTCAGCAGCCCCCATTTAGGAGCAGCCGGGGGCTGACGACTGCGTGAAAGCTCCAGAACTCCCAGAGAGGAGCACCAAGCCCAGCATCCTCCATGAATCCACATCTATCTTCAACCCATGTGATCTCTGTGCCCAGAGGCGCCGCAGTGTCTTCAAACCAACCAACCAACCAACCAATCAACCAACCAACCAAAGATGCCCCTGAATTCTGAAACCGCAGACCCTGGAATCTTAAGGAATCTTAGCCGAAAGTCGAGTCGTGAATTTCCAGGAGTGGTACACCTTGAAGGCCGCCGGAAGCCGGCATGTTCAGGCAAGAAGAGGGGGGGCGGGGGGGGTTGAGGGAGAATTCCATTCTTGCGACGGGAGGGTACGGAAAAACCGGGGTTCCTGATCCCAAGGCCCATAAATTGAGATCTTGAAGGGGCAAAAAGTGGTCGCACGATGTCGCAGGATCTTCGGTTGTGACGTTTATCCGCACGGGGTGTTGAAGGGTTGCGAATTGAACGCAAGAGCCGCGAAGGTCTCGACGAACTCGCTTCCACCAAGCCTCTCGGCGCACACACTATCCCGATCCTTCTCGCACACCCTAGACCCTGAACCCTACCCACTTCCGATTCTGAAGGACGGGTAGGAGTAGGAGGCTGCAGGTTGCAAAAAAATGGACCACCTCTACCTATTGCATATGTTAGTTCATGAAACATACTGTCACATGGTCTGATATAATACAGCATAGTATACTATAGCGTCCAATCAGGGTTTTGTCTCCCGGTTTGGCGTGCAGAGGCTTTGAACTTGCAGGCATGCATTTTTCACATCATCATGCGCATTTTCATCATGAGTGGTAAAGACATACAGTATCGGTAGCGCTTTGCCGTAACCATAGTACATCACGATCCTTCAAGGCGTTACCCAGCGACTCGCGATAGTCCAGGCTCCAAATCGTCAACCTCTGACACCCGTGCTACAAGTTTCGGGTTTAGGGGGTTTTAGGTTTCAGATAGTTTAGCTGCCCTGGGGCCATAATCAAGAGTGTAGAGTATAGGGGTTATGATGGGAGGGATCCATTTTCCAGCAGCCGTCCTCGGGATCCTACAGAGCGATCGCGATGGTTGCTTGGATCCTGAAGGAGTTTGTTCTAAGCCCATTATAGGTGGGTAGT